CGCCCGCGCCCGCCCCACCCTCCGCCCTCCGCCCCCGCGCCGCCCTCCGCCCGTCGTGCACGAGGTGCTCGACGGTATGCCCGCAACGACAACGTCGTTCATGGGGAATATTCTGTTATAAGGGTTGGGTTTGAGGGTTCTGTTTTTTAACCCGTAAAAGTGCACTAAAAGACTATTTTTGGACCCTTTAAACACTAGTGAGGGTTTGAGGGTTTAAGAATTCTACTAGACATGCTCTTATCTTGATCTCTCCGTCTCGAAGCGTCGAAAGGAAGACAAGAAAATTGTGGGCGGCCACGGCGGCGGCGGAGTACCACGGCAGAGCTCGGCGAACATGGCCCGTTTTCGTACGGTGGCTGCTGGTGCCGGGGCCGGGGCCGCGCGCGCGGTCCAGCCGATTGGCGCATGATGCGTTCATGTGCGCGACGCAGAGACTGTGGCAAGTTCGCTTGCTGCTACCTATACATGTGTATGGGCACTGGTCTCCTTCCTGGCCGGCTCGTTGGTCCTGCGCGCCGAAATTAGCCTGGTCCAGCGCGTACGTACGTACGTTGCCACTTGCATGGACAGTGTACCGACCGGCGGCGTTTCTGGTGTGCCACTAGCCGCCGGCCTACCGGTGCAGTGCATACATGCAATGTATGGGTCGAGTTGTTGGCATGCATTCACGACGATAGGGCGATGGGCATGTATGCATGCAGTCCTTCCACTGCGCTGTGTAGTTAGCTGATAAGATCGGGCGTTCCCATCAGACGATGTTGGTACAGCAAGCTGACAAGCCTGCGGACAAAGCTCGTCCCGTCTCGTTCCATCGCCAGCACAGGACGTACGGGAGCGATCTGCATGCATTCTCCGCACATCCATTATTTATGGTAAGTAGAAATTAGACCCTGGACACAACGGGCAGCGTCGTCGCAAGTTTTCTGCGTGGTTTGTTGTCTATGCTAGGCTCGCGGGAGGCTCTCTGAGACTAGCCACAATGGAGAGTAATTTAGACTAGTAACATGTACTCCCTTCGTCCGGAATTACTTGTCATTAAAATAGATGTGTCTAGAACTAAAATACATCTAGATACATCCATTTCAATGATAAGTATTTTCGGACGGAGGGAGTATATGTTACTAGTATATGTTACTACCTTCATAGTAAGAAGTAACATATATGTGGTGTCATGTAATTATTCATTTATTATATTGTAGACTTACTTTGCGTTGATATGTGTGATGTTACTCATACTACTAGTAACTATGTTACTACATGACTCTCTTTCTTCATTAATTACTTGTCACATCATCTATTTTGCCTAAATATGTGTGATGTTATCATTTATGTTACTCCCACCGTGGGATAGTCTGAAGCAGCAGCGGAGGCAGGAATAATTTCTATGTGTGGCGGAGTTTATAACAAGAAAAAATTCTGTATAACTCAACTATGCAAGAGATCGCTAGAATACTAGCAGATGAGTATATATTACTTGGTGAGTTGGTGTCAACAAATACAACCAAAAATTCAAAAGGTAACTATGGGCACTCTAAATACCTCACTTGTTGAAGATTACATGGATGATCGATTGCCGATGTATGATTTGTATTAAGTTAATAACTAGACGGGCATAAAGATGACCTATAAAACATAAAAAGTATAGATAAATCATGAATTGGTAACTGGTAGGATATGGTGGAAAGCACATTATGCAAGTGAGATAGTTAGAATGAATACATACCCATAACAAAGGTTTACTTTCATTAAGTAGAAAGTGGCAATGGCATTCTTCTACCTTTTTTAAAAAAAATCTTAAGTTCAGCAATATCAATCTCGTTGTTCAGCAACTACGTCCAAAGGTGGAGTTAGACTCGAGTGCCACTGACTTTAGGAAAAAAAATACTATTTAAATCTATATAGAAAAAACAAGAAAAACTAATGGGTTAGTCTTTAAAAAAAAAGAGCAATATCAGTAGAAAGATTGAATAACGGTTCATTCACATGATGCAAGCAAGTAACATGACAATTGAGCAGATTTGATTAATAAGAGGAAGAAGCACAACAAAATTATACATTTCATTACATACTTCTTCTCCTTCTGCTTCGACTATGCTCAAAATTATACACGAGCGCTATGTTACTTGCTTTTTTTTGCGGGCGAATGTTACTTACTAAGTTACTTCTATTATGACCAGCCTGATCATGGTGAAACATATCGATGTCTTGCTCACCGTTGCCGCTGCCAATCAAGGAAAAGGAAGGGCTCCGGAATTATTAGACAAAACATCTACACCATACACAGTGCTGCACCATAGCAATTACGGGCGTTACGCGGGGTCACATGCACACTGTCGCATCGCATCGGCGTTTGCGTGGTCGGGGAGAGCCGAAGAAGGAAGAGAAGCGTCTGGTCTCCAGCCCATGCGCTCGCGGTCAGGTGCCCGAGGAGCCCGACGGGCAGTCAATCACAGCTGCTGCATGTGGCCGGGATTTTGGCCTCGTCTGTTCTGAGGCTCGTCATAATGGGGAGTAAATTAATACAGTGTTATGCATAAGGCATTAGTCTAAATTTCTAAATTATTATTTTCATAGTGCAAAATAATATAGTAGTAGTGTTATAGATGGTTTCATTTATTAACTTATAGACTCATTTTCTCTTAAAAATGCTATGTTACAGTAAATTATATTATTCTAAACACATCTCTCCTCATTAAATACATGCTATATAAGCAAATTTGTCTTGGACTGCGGTATGTTACTTACTAAGTTACTCCCACTATAACTAACCTGGCAGGGACGATATCTCGCCGGATTTGGCACCGCGCTGCGTGGTATATCCTTGCCGGACTTGTAGATTTCAGAACATCGCCATGCGGATTCCGGGCCACGCAGCCTCGCGTCTAGCATTACGAATGCGCCCGTCAACTTTTGGGGTTGTGACAAGCCTCTTGTTAAGCTAGTGCTAGTATTAGTCTCTACTCCTAATGTGTCAGTTGGTAGGTCGCGTTCCGAATTTTATCTTCGTCCCACCTCACCCGGTCTTTTTTTGTACTTGCTCCCACCTCCCGCTCAGCCGCGTGGAACCAAGAAAAACCCTCAGGGCCGAGTCCCTCACCCGCCCCCACGCGCCAAAACCTCCTGTCGCACCCATTGATACAGACAAACTGGCGACAATTAACCAGCGAAAAAAAACCGGCGAAAATTAATCAACGAAAAAAATCCGATAACGAATCGCACGAGCGAGGCCTTCTGCCCTCGAGCGAGCAGTCGCACGCACCAGTCGCACACCAGATCCCTTCGCCGCCGCCCTCCATCCTTCGCCATCGCAGATCCATCCCGCCGCCGCCACCGCCGCCGCTCCATCCCTCTCTTCCCTCCAAGCTTGTCGCCGGCGGCGAAGCGTACGGCGCTCCATCCCTTCGCCTGCAGGAACCTATCACGCGCGCCGAGGCGAGGGCCTCGTGGACTCCGTCCGACGCCGCTTGGCCGACGACCCTGCCGCCGGGCAGGAGGAGTGTTCCGCGCCGTGAGGAACCCGCCACGCGCGTCAAGGCGAGGCGCCTCCTGGGCTCCGTCCGTTTCCAGAGCGAGCGCCCGCGAATACCTAGCTAGCCGCTGCCGTCGTGACCGTTCCAGCCACCGCCAAGGTAAGGTGCTTTCTCCATCTCAATTTCCTTCCTTCCCCATCAAGGTTAATTTGGATGCGTACTTAAGTGATTTTGGTGTTGCTCATCGGATTTGTATATGTACGTACGTGTGTCTTCGATCTGCTTCGTTTGGATACGTTGTTAAGTAATTCACATCTTCCCTTTTACAATACGTGCATGATCTTGTCTTGTGCTCTCGGGTTTATATATTTGCTTGCTTAACATCTATCCTACTGCCTGAAATCAGCAGTTAATTTGTTCAGGAAAAGAAATCCACTTATTAGGAAGTAAAGTGAAGCAACCATATCGATCCATCAATTTGTTCATTGTATTTTGTTTGATGTGTGATGTGCTTGTGTGGTGAGAGGCGAGGAGTGGCTTCAGGTCCCTCTCCTTTTTGCCTGACTGAGCAAGAAGGGAAGAGAAACAGTAGGAGGAATTCAGAATTATATTTCCTCAATTCAGATTTACCTTTGTTCAGTGACAAGTTCAGACCAAGTACATTACCCTGCTGGCACACAGGCCCCACTCACACATGATTAACTCACACGCACACCTGTACCCTGCGCCACCGAACACCACATATGGAGGAGGTGGCGCCAGTGTACAGCTAAGGCACGGCGTCATGCATGACATGGTTCTGTATTCTGTATACAGTGTGATACAAATAGTTCAAACATGCTCTGAGTGTTGAAAAATTCAAATTTGGTACCACAATTTCTCTTGAACGATTTACTTTTGTGTTTTTATTTGTCCTGTATTTATTTTTCAATGATGATATTGCAGGGTTTAACGACTGCATCAACATTGTAGGAAGAAGTGTGGAACTAGAAGCATCGGTAGAAATAGTAATGAAGGCAAGACCGACTTAGAAAAGCTTTTGTTTTTTGTTTACTGTGGTCTTCTTACATAATTTAAGTTTTAGATCCAATGCATGAGCAGAAAATGCTAGGTTCTTAATACCTGTGAGACGATATGCAGGATAGTATATTTATTTATTTACTTAGGGAAGGAGAGAATATAATTTAGGTATAATGTACATGGTCATTTTACTTTTACATTGACATATGCTTATGTTCCTTTTTTTGTAGCTAGATCAAACTTGGCACAGATGCACATGCACCGCGCCCCTCACTGATGTGAGGATCCATTTCCTCAATCCCCTCTTAATCTCCAACATCTCCCCCTTCCAGTGTTGGCGTACTTGACCGGAAGTGAGTGCGCAGCGGAGCAAAGCTCAGCCTAGGTCTTCATCAATGCAAGACGGGGCAGGAGGGAGCGGGAAGTTTTTCGGCCGCATGAATGTGGAAGGCGCTTGACAAATCAGAGATGTATGAAGCTTCTGCCGAGGTAATTGATGAGAGAAGCTCTCATGTTTTGTTCTTGATCCTCAAACAAAGCGACTAGTCAGCGTGTTTCTGTACTATGCCCAAATGCCCTTACATGTTTCATCTTTCGTTTTTGTAGTCTTAATATATGGGTCTCATCTATTTTTGGTTGCAGATGTTTGAGAGGGGCAGCATAGACATAAGAGGGGTTCAATATTGTTAACTCACATCATCCAGACCAGGTCAGCACACATGCCATGCAGATTCTACTACTTGATGTAGCCTTTCTCTTAGATGTAAGTAGTATTTTTACTGTGCTACTCTTTGATCTCGAGTAGTTTGTTCATGTATTGTTTAAGATGCCAAATAGAATTAAATGGAATATAAGTTTCAAAGTTTCATTATGACAGATGAAAAGTACACGAAGGTAAACTAATATGTCTCATGCCACTCGTATAGTCATGGTTGTCCTTGACTATAGTGTACTTAGGAGGAGGAGATGAACATGAAGAATGAGTTTGTAATGTGGTTGTCGTTGATTAATGGCACCCCCAACAGCGGTGATAATGACCATGGGGAGGAGAGCACGAACATCAACAACCTCTTGGCCTTGTTGGCTTCTCCGACATCAATAACGACGACTAGCTCGCCATACAGTTGCTAGAGTGCTAAAGAATGGTCGAGAAGAACAATGGATTGTTGATGGAGCCAATCAACAAGGACGATAAGGACGGCCACAACAGTGAGAATAAGAAGGCGGAGCTCATCGCCGTCGGCCGCCAGCTCTGCAGGGAGAAGAAAAACGACAATGCGTTAATTATAAAGAAGTCAACAATGCCACCTGGTGTGCAAAGGGTCCTAAGGTATATGTTATCCACCATTGGTATTGATCCATTAGAATATGTAAGCCCCCGATGCAACATACGGGCAATTTATATACATCGTAGCCCATAGCAACGTTGCCTGCATCATTGGAGTTGTATATATTAGAATTGAGTTATGATGGCATAATTTTTTCCGTCACAAGTTAAATGAGCATTGTGTAAAAGTCTAACTAAGTTTTCTTTCACATTCTTCTATAAATTGGAAGTCCAATATAGATTTCTCAATGTATCATTTTGGGATTATTTGACCATCGGACAATATTGCCATGCTGACCATTTCTCTTGTCTTTGCAATATCTATAGGATCTAATGTAAAAGTATAATGTGCTTCACAGATTTTTTATTTCTTTTGATTTTGCCTTGCTTGTTATTTATGCTTATAGCTTTATATGTGAGATTCTATTTGGCGACACCTTTTTCAATTGTTAGTTGAGGTGCTTCTGAGTTTATCAATCAGGTGAGGCATGTGGTGCCCTTTCGGAATGTCGTTTTCTTCTTCCTTGCATCTCAAATGCAAGCAACCATGCTTCTACCGAGGCTTAGAAGAAACGAAGATGTATGTTCCAGAACCTCTTTTATATTATTTCATCACAAAAATTTACTGTAATATTTGCTCTTTTTTGTAAATACACATGATAGACTTGAACGATCTTCTGTTATATTGCATGATGCCCAATTGATATGGTACGAGAAAAAAATTCTGATTGTAAGGTTTATCTTCATATAGCAACTTCCATGAAATATGTTGCAACTTCAGAAATCTAAAATGATGGTTTTAATATTAATGTCCGGGATGAGGCCATAGGTTTTTTTGATCCGTATCTAATTTTCCAAAGGTTGAAGATGTCTTTACTGTCAAGTTTATAGCCATCAAATGGTCCTTCATTACCTGATTGCAGGCTGTTGTCAAGAATTTCACCCCACCCATTGCATTGGATATCACCTATGGCTGCAGCAATAGTGTGTCAATCTAGCTCACGTGAATTGAGCTACGCAATGTCCTATTATTACTCTGTTACTCAAAGAGTTGGTATCCCTAAATAGTAAGAACAGAGAAGATTCTTAGTGAGTTATTACACGTATTTTATTCTGATCTCCTATAAAAATCTTTTGTGGTTTAGGCACAACCCATATTATGGTTCTTTTATACCAATTAAGTTCACTATTCAACAAAATTCCTTTTCACTGAAATAAGAACCACGTAATGCTTACAATTGATCTGGTCAGCTAGATAACTAAATGAGTTAAAATTATGCGTACTATCTTTTGACATATGTAATGTGGGGTAGAAGACTAGTGTCTCTTGCTAGGGATTTCTGGAGGCAACATCCCTCTGATTGTATGCACTTAACTATTTTGCTTCTGGCTTCCTGCTATTGTATTTTACGTTGTCTGCAGATGCAAATTCTTTTACGACTAATCAGTCTCGGATAATACTTCAACCCAGACATCAACGGAGCAAAGAACTTGATTAAAAGGTACATTCCTGATTACCAATGCCTAGCTATTTTTCGATCTTGACTAACACAAAGGGTGCAATATGTAGGTTCAAGGAGCTCCGACGCTTTCTATGACCAAAGAATTCATTCAAGCCAGATTTTCTTTCAAGATAACAATAATGCCTAGGAGCATCCCTATCCATTGAACAATACCGGAGAGATAGAGCGCTACTGCCTTACACTTTTCAATATCCCTAGCTTTATTTTCATTATTGTGATAATTGTGGTATTTAAAAATTCAGAATGCCTTGTACGATTATCTGTGGATTTTGCTGTTAGGGAACGTAGCACAAATTCAAAATTTTCCTACGTGTCACCAAGATCTATCTATGGAGTCATCTAGCAACGAGGGAGGAGTGGATCTACATACCCTTGTAGATCGCGCGCGGAAGCGTTCAAGAGAACGGGGTTGATGGAGTCGTACTCGTCGTGATCCAAATCACCGATGATCCTAGCGCCGAAAGGACGGCACCTCCGCGTTCAACACACGTACGGAGCAGCAACGTCTCCTCCTTCTTGATCCAGCAAGGGGGGAGGAGAGGTTGATGGAGATCCAGCAGCACGACGGCGTGGTGGTGGAAGTAGCGGGATTCCAACAGGGCTTCGCCAAGCGCTGCGGGAGGAGGGAGGTGTGTCATGGGAGGGAGAGGGAGGCGCCAGGGCTTAGGTATGGTTGCCCTTCCTTCCCCCCACTATATATAGGGCCAAGGGAGAGGGGGAGGGCGCAGCCTTGCCCCTTCCTCCAAGGAAGGGTGCGGCCAAGGGGGGGAGGAGTCCATCCTCCCCAAGGCACCTCGGAGGTGCCTTCCCCCTTTAGGACTCTCCCCTCCTCTTGTCCCTTTGGCGCATGGGCCTCTAGGGGCTGGTGCCCTTGGCCCATATAGGCCAAGGCGCACCCCCTACAGCCCATGTGGCCCTCCGGGGTAGGTGGCCCCACCCGGTGGACCCCCGGGACCCTTCCGGTGGTCCCGGTACAATACCGGTGACCCCGAAACTTGTCCCGATAGCCGAAATAGCACTTCCTATATATAATTCTTTACCTACGGACCATTTCGGAACTCCTCGTGACGTCCGGGATCTCATCCGGGACTCCGAACAACATTCGGTTTACCGCATACTAATATCTCTATAACCCTAGCGTCACCGAACCTTAAGTGTGTAGACCCTACGGGTTCGGGAGACATGCAGACATGACCGAGATGACTCTCCGGTCAATAACCAACAGCGGGATCTGGATACCCATGTTGGCTCCCACATGCTCCACGATGATCTCATCGGATGAACCACGATGTCGAGGATTCAATCAATCCCGTATTCAATCCCCTTTGTCTAGCGGTACGATACTTGCCCGAGATTCGATCGTCGGTATCCCGATACCTTGTTCAATCTCGTTACCGGCAAGTCTCTTTTACTCGTTCCGTAACACATCATCCCATGATCAACTCCTTGATCACATTGTGCACATTATGATGCTGTCCTACCGAGTGGGCCCAGAGATACCTCTCCGTTTACACGGAGTGACAAATCCCAGTCTCGATTCGTGCCAACCCAACAGACACTTTCGGAGATACCTGTAATGTACCTTTATAGCCATCCAGTTACGTTGTGATGTTTGGCACACCCAAAGCACTCCTATGGTATCCGGGAGTTGCACAATCTCATGGTCTAAGGAAATGATACTTGACATTAGAAAAGCTTTAGCATACGAACTACATGATCTTGTGCTAGGCTTAGGATTGGGTCTTGTCCATCACATCATTCTCCTAATGATGTGATCCCGTTATCAACGACATCCAATGTCCATGGTCAGGAAACCGTGACCATCTATTGATCAACGAGCTAGTCAACTAGAGGCTTACTAGGGACATGGTGTTGTCTATGTATCCACACATGTATCTGAGTTTCCTATCAATATAATTCTAGCATGGATAATAAACGATTATCATGAACAAGGAAATATAATAATAACTAATTTATTATTGCCTCTAGGGCATATTTCCAACATTTGCAACCCATGTAATCTCCTATTAGACTGGATATGATCAAAATAATTCAGCTTTTCATGATTGGTTGTCATCAAGTAGAGCTTATTTTGTGGATGGATGCATTGGTTTATGTTTCCTGGCTTTTAGTTTTTCCCTTATAATATTCAGTTGATTCCCGTGAGGGGCGGCGACCCATGCTGGACGTGTGATGAGGGGAGTGTTGTTGATGCGGTATGGGAGATGTCTCGTGGAGAGAGGGGAGGGTGAAAAAGTGGTGGATCGCAAATGTTTGGATGTGCTCGATCTAACGATTGGTATGCATGCTTCAACAATAGTACTTACTTATGTTATGTGAGGAGTAATGTAAGATGCAGTGAAACATGTTGGGCATGGCTTCATGACAGACCTGGCGGACAGATATCAAGGGTGATGTTGAGGCCGGCGGCAAAATAAATGGCCAAATGGGGCTCCTCAATGCAAGTGAGAAGGCTGATTGATTCCCGTGGAGCAATGCAATGTTGCATCAGAATGTACTGGGTTCCATTTTCGGGCAGAGAAGAAGTGATTAAGGCATGTGCACGATTTATTTGTTCATTCATTTAATCCTTCCTTATTTCACTCAGCTTAGATTCATTAACTTTTGCACTTGCTCATGATTGATGGATTGAGAAATTTAGTGACATTAATTGCAATGAGGACTATCATATATCCATAAAACTCAGATTTTTTTTCAATAGAACATGATCATGATGAGCCAGTAAGATTTTTGATTTTTTTAAATGCCCGTGGCAAACGCGGTGGGGATAAGGGATGTGTGATGTGCTTGTGTGGTGAGAGGCGAGGAGTGGCTTTTCCTTTTTGTGGGAGGCTGTTCATATTTGTCTATTCTATTTTTAAATTCAAGATACATACAATTATTTATCATCATTATAATCGAGATAATAAATATTTATTTATTCCAGTATGTGTTGAGTTATTTTGTTTTTGATTTTAATATCTCTCATGGAATGGTAAAAAATTGGTTCATCCAATTTACAAGTGGAGTACTCTATGTTTGCACGTTCTTACATTTTTCATGTGAAATCTTCATGCTAACTGTATGAAGTACTCATGCAGGATGGTTACAAGTCAATGAAGATTTTTTTTACTATAATTGCTCAAGTACTGTGCGAAGGAAGCTGAAGACAATATTCCTGATATTTTAGGAGATGCAAGTGAAGTGGAATAATGAAAATACATTGCACCGAGTACATTTTTTGATTGTTACTGTAAATTTTTTCTATACATGTGAAATTGGAAGTGCATTATGCTTATGTATGCAATCAGAAAAAAAAATTAAAAGGCCCGTGGCAACGCACGGGCATTGTACTAGTACTAGTAAGAGTTGATTAGCACAACTGTTGATAATCTGCACATCTTGCTTGGCGAGCGTCGACCCGGCGTTGAGGCGTGACTGAAGAATCTGTTCCCCTATTCATGCCATGGTATCGGTTAACTGCCCATGGTTAACAAGAAAACCCTTCCTGGCTAGGCAAGGTAGGGCTGGAATTCGAGCCGAGTCGAGCCAGCTCGGCTCGATTTGCAAGAGCTCGTTTCGTTAACAAGCTAGCTCGACTCGACTCGTTATTATTAACGAGCTTAAATCCAAGATTGGCTCGACTCGTATAACTCGCGAGCTAGCTCGTTTAGCTTGTTAAGCTCGTTAAAGACATGAACATAAAACCCTCAAACATTATAAAAATTATTATGTATATATTAAACATATATATCACTAAACAATAGTAATTTCCTTATAACGCATGAGTCTCCTAGGTGGTTGGGCCTTCAACGGCTAGGTCTTGTGTTGTGCGCCTAGGACATAGGGTGCTGAGTGGCTGATCTTTTTTTATATTAGGAGTGGCCGATCTTTTGTATCAAGCCTAACGAGTTACACGAGTACTCGTGAGATTGGCTCGTTTAACTTGGTCTATAAACGATCTTAAACTAAAGCTCGGCTCGACTCGTTATTCTTCGAGTTCGAGTCGATTCAAGCCGAGTCACGAGCTACTCGTTTAGCTCATGAGTTTCGAGCTTTTTTTCCAGCCCTAAGGCAAGGTATTACGGCTTTCAAGTTTCAACTGAATTCTTGAAAAAAAAAAGATCCAATACGCGCGTTGTTCGCCGGCGCGAGCTGCAGAGACGACACTCCAAGATTACATGACACGTGATTTCATCATGGACATGTCGGTACCAGAAGAGGAGCGTCATGTATGGATCCTTCAGTGGCCGCGACCCAACGTGCAGCTCGTCGCGGCGTCGCGCTGCCGGCCAAACGGCCCGACCGACCGCAGACTCCACGATTCGTGCAGGATACGAAGCTCACGGTATGGATACGATGCCGGTTGAGAGCCGGGCGGAGATAGAGCAGGCGGAATATGCCCGAGGGCGCGCGCCCGGCGAGGCGCGATCGATGATCGACACGATGCTCGCCGCGGGGTGCGATGCCCCCCACCCGTCCCATGTGCGTGCGGGGTTGGTGCGCCGTGTGCCCGCGCGGCGAGGGGGTGGGCGCGGCTCCGGCTTATCTTATCCCCGTCTCGAAGCGCCGGTCGAAAGGACCAAAAGAAAAATGTGGGCGGCGGCGGCGGCGGAGTACCACGGCAGAACTTCGCGACCTGGTCCGTTGAGGCGGCTATAACATGGCCGGTTTTGGCACGGTGACTTCTGGGCCGGGCGCATTCGCCGCGCGCGCGGGGTCCTGCCGAATGCCGATCCATGCACCATGTATTCATGTGTGTGTGTGTGCGCACTGGTCTCCTGGTCGGCTAGTTGGTCCTGCCCTGCGCGCCGAAATGAGCCTGGTCCAGCACGTACGTACCTACGTTGCCACTTGCCAGGACTGTACCGGCATGCAACCTCTCTGGAGTGCCACCAGCCGCCGGCCACGGCCAGCCGGGGCAGTGGATCCGGCTTGTCTGCTTCCTCTTCATGCTTCCATCCGTGCTCCCAGTTCATTCTACGGCTGTTTTTTTCCTTTTTTTTCTAATCTAATTATCTTTTCCCCTGATTTTCAGGGATGGGGCCGGGTCTTATTTTTTTCCAATCAAATCAAGCCACGTATGCGGGAGCACGGATGAGAGCATGAAAAGGGAGCAGACAAGTCTCGTCCGTTAAAGTTGGCATACACGACGATCCGGCGATGGGCCTGCATGCATGCAGCCCTTCCACTGCATTCTGTAGTTAAGCTGATAAGATCAGAGAGAGCTTTGGCTTGGTTGTCACGTCCACATCTCGATCGGGCGTTACCACCAGACTCGTTGTTGGTACAGCAAGCTGACAAGCCTACGGACAAAACCCGTCTCGCTCCGTCGCCAGCACAAGACGTACGGGAGCGTTCTGCATTGTCCACTGCGCACAACCATTGTGGTAGGTAGAAATCAGACCATGAACACACCCAAACGTACTGTAGTTTAGCTCGCCCGCATTACTACGTACTGTAGTTTAGCTCGCCCGCATTACTATTTTAATGATTTAAACGCTCTTACATTTCTTTATGAAAAGAGTTACGGAGGGACATTAATTTCTTCAGTGTAGTTTAGCTCGTCCGTATCGTATACGTACTATGTACGGAACCAGATCCTTTAACATTGAGAAGTGAAGTTAGATGAGCTACAGTACTCTAACTTGCCTTCTTTCTATTTATATGATTAAGGCTAAAATGACTCAAATTAATTTGCAAATTGATGATCTACTGTGCATATTATAGTAATTACATATAAATAAGTTGATGGTGAAATAAAATTAATTTTAGATTATTTATTTCTAGAGTAATTTTTTTTTGAAAAGGAGGTTATCCCCAGGCCTCTGCATCGGAAAGATGCATGCAATCACTTTATTAAAAATCCCTTCTAGAATAAATACCAACAGTAAACAACCTGCTAATTATCTAATGACCTTCTCTAACTTCTCTTCTTTTTGAGCGTGAACGGCAGGTGTTTTGCCTTTGCATTATAGAAGAGGGAAAGTGGTCCAGTTAATAGGGAAACTGGACCCGAAAATCATACAACGCGCGGTTAATATGGAAAACCGGCAAAAACCACACCCAAACCGGCAAAAACTTCTCTTCTTCATTTTACACTAGGATAGCACTGTAGCACCGTGAATTTCCTTCTCAATGTTAGAGGATCCGGTTTCACTATGTACGAGGCATCGGTACACACTTTTTTATGATTCGGTACTCGTTGAACGTACGTGCTCCGTGCCAATCTTCCCTCAAATCCCGATACGAGCAGCTGCACAAGTTGGTACGCACGCCGATAAACAAGGTTGGTTCACGGGTGGTAGCATGGCCGCGATCAAAACACAGCAAGAAGACGAGCAGCGTCGTCGCAAGTTGCGGCGAGTTCCCCTGATTTTCAGCGTGGTTTGTTGCCTTCCTCAAAAAAAAGTTTGATTCAGTGGGAGAAGAAGCGGCAGACTGTCTGTCGGAGAGGCTCGATCTGCGAAAATGACCACCCCCTGAAGCCAAGAGGCAAACGAGTTGTACACACTGGTACTTGACAGGACACTGGCCCTGTTAACTTCGAAGTGTACCAGTAGCATGAAACTTAGCTAGTGCCTGATGTAAACAAATGGCATGGGGTTAGTATAACTCTCCCTGTACAAAGTAGGGGTTAGTAGTAGTAAACTAACTCTAAAGTTCCAGCTCTGTTCCATTTTGTCCGGTGAAAGCTTTAAGGGGACACCCAAAGACCAAGACACTCCCCGGATTTCACCTTTTCAGGCTGGACATCTGTAGTTTAGTAGTGGTAGCACTCAGTTTCTGCCAACAAATGAGGTTGAATAAAACGGGCAGAGGCAAGCTAAAGAAGTCTCCATTTTCCACCTAGTTCAGCAGCTTCATCCAATCATCCTTGCTTGGCCTGGCTGCTGTCCGCACGGTTGTTCCTGGCCTGAATGATGACGGTGATGCCTCACTTTCCTGTACGAGCTCTCTTTTGCATCCTAACCAACTGTCTAGCACCCTAATTAAACTCTCCTTGGTCATTAACATATCTTGTTCAACAGTGTCTTCAACCAAGTGATGATGCCGAAAGCTGCCGAGAGCCCTGAAATTCAGAATGCGGGCCTTTCTTTTGGGTTAAGAATCATGTCCTGTTTTGCTAAGAGATGGTAACATTGGGCAGCTTATCATGCAACACCAACAGGTAATCAGGCTGAAATTTTCATGATTGACGTGTTGTGCCACCTTGCAGACAGAACCTGAATATAAGCATCAGTATGCAGACATACTTGTCACTTGAGCTTCGTGCCTCTTGTCTGCAGGATCTTTTCTACTCACGATTTTGTTCTCGTCACCTGGCACATTTTGTTCTCTCCGATCAAGCCAGCCATTCAGCTTATGCCTCTGCAGATTCGCAGATCAAACAAAACGAAATGTACTCTGAATGCATAAATCCACCCAAGGACATATGACTCTGGTTTACACCAGCGGTAGCTAGCAGATGCTTTTCCAACC